AACAGAGGCCCAAGAATATATCTTTGAGAAACTCCTGCATTTACAGTTGACCAATTAGACTGAGCGCCTGGAAAAATGACGTCTGTAAGAAAGATAATTAGAGAATCAGTTCATTAATTTTACATTTAATCTAACATTTTGTAATTTATAGAGACCATTATGCCATACCTTGTCGAATATAATATGTTCAAGAACCCTTTCTTTACAACAAAGTAAGGATATTTGATGATAATGTTTCAGTAATCAGGGATCACCTCTCTTAAAGATTTCACATACATTTGCATCTTTCCATATTAAGGGTACCGTACGGCATTGAAGAGATTGATTACATAGGTAACGAAAAGGGAAGAAGAGATCTTGTTCTCGTCGTATTCTGTTATCAATTCCAGCTGGTCCTGAGACTTTCGTGTTTTTTTTCCTACGTCTTGAGGGGATATGTTACAAAGTTTAAGTTTGTTTCTATGAAAGTCAGTGCGTTGGTTGTTAATTGACGCGTGCGCCGAAAAGAATTAATTCAAAATATTTGCTTTCGAAATTTAATCAAAAACAAGTTCACAAACAGCACAATGTAAAAAGGAGGAAGAGTTTGTTTATCTGCAGGAGAGATGAAATCTTTAAGGAAAAACACACCATAAACAGTTATTTGAAGTTAAAGTAATAACACCATTTTCAACATTAAATTTCAAAATTGTCTCTTTACACATCACCCCCATTTACATACATTTATGCTTAAAGCACTCTGTAATTATAGAGTCCAGTGCTCTTTAGGCCATTTTAAAATGTCTGCAACTTTTTCAAAATGTAAGAAAAAATTATAAACATCATTCTAATCGGAAGAAAGTACAAGTTTAATCAATTTAACTACACCAAAAGGTCCATATACACATCTTCATATTTTTATCTGAACTTTGACCTCTATGTGTGACCTTGACCTTGGCCGCAAGGACCCGAATCTTGCACGCAACACTCCGCCTTACAATGGTGAACATTTGTGCCAAGTAATATTGAAATTCCTCTATACATGTGGAAGTTTTGCTCCGGACAAGCATTTTTTAATGAGCTCTAAGTGTGACCTTGACCTTTGATCTAGAGACCTGGTTCATGTGCGCGACACTGCTCCTTATATTGGTGAACATTTCTATGAAGTTTCATTAAAATCCCTCCATACATGTAGAAGATATGCTCCGGACAAAATTGGACGCCGCAATCCCGCCCGCCCGACCGACCACCCGCCCGCCAGGGGCGTTCCCATAATACGTCCCGTTTTTCAAACGGGCGTATAAAAATATAATAGAAATCCATGATCTATTAGAAGAAAATTAATGAACGAAAATGATAAATAACAAAAATCTAGCCTGAATGAATACATATAATGCCATTTGTAAATTAATTATTATAATCTATTCAATTCAAAATAAATTCACACCTTGATCTAAAAAGTTATATATTTATTTCCTTTTATAAAACACGTCTGTTCGCATAAGGCTCAACTTTACAAGTGACTAGAAAAAGAAGGCAAATCGCTTTTGCAGAAGGTAGTAGGGTTAACCTGCAGTTTTTGAAAAGTAAAATAATTTTATTTCCGAACTTTAGATTATGACGATTTGCGTAAACGTTTTCGCAAGTAGAGTAAATGAAAATGAATAACTCTTATCCGAACTGAGTAAATCACAATTATTTCAAGGAAAACACATATTTTGCGAAATTTGTTAATGAAAATACAGGGTTGCACTTCAGAAAATAAAAATAATTTTCTTTCAAAACTTTCGTTTAAGAATATTTCCGTTTGCGATTACTCAAGTAGGGTAAATGAACATAAAAAACTCTAACTCAAATTGAATTTATCCAAAATTCTTTCAAGCAAAGCACTTTACATGCGTTGTCTTACTGATTATTGAAAGTACTGGTTTGATTGTTTTGAAAACCACACTATTTTCAGAACTTTCATTAATGAAGATTTCCATATATTATAACCCAAGAACATATCCGGAAAAACTCACATTAGAGTTAGGTATATAAAAGTCTATTTTATTTCTGCAAACATATTCATTGAAAACAAACACAGGATACTTTATTACGAGTTTCTTTTATTTATACATTAAAGACATACATGACTGAATACATTATTTGATACATTATTACCAAAATTAATATTTCTATCAAAATTGTCATCTTGGCATTACAAAAACACTTTATTATTTTTGTCCTAAAAATGAAGAAGGAAAGCATGCATATTCCGTTCATTGATTTAGTTAGAAATGCTAGTTTCATTTGATACTGCGTATTTAATTAAAAATTAAAAATAAAAATAGAACCATAAGTCACTCTACAAGAATTAAAGATCTATTTTTTAAAATATAAACTGTACTAAAAGAATTAAGTTTAACAAGTTCGTACTAAATATAAATTTTTGATAAGTGTATACTAAATTGAATAAAGCCCTCCAATGATTACATCTTTAAGCTGGTGATACCATTTGGAATTCAACAAGAAAATCGAAATCCGCTGCTTCTGTCAACTGAAAATGGTAGGGATCTAAGAGAAAAATCATAAATGTGTAATATCGAGTTCCTCTTCCGTTAACAGCAAGTAAAGCAACACATCTTCGTCTCATGCTGTTTTTATGCCTTTGTACAACTTGTAGAGAACTTCTGCTCGCTCAAGAAATTGTGATGACGTCATTATGTTCTCTAATCTGGCGATCTGGATTGCCTAAGAAGAACAGCAATGTTGTTACGCCTAAGACCATCCTGCATGCTTAGCAATATGTGACCCGGGTATATCATGTTGCAAAAGTCGTGCATGTTGTTACAAAAACGGAACGACAACTGGCTACACTATCTCGTGACAATATCGCACTGAAGTAAGGTTTCCAGCAACTGTATTCAGTTCAGTTTAACCTCTATGACAAATTCCCGCCCATATCAGCATGTTTCCCTTACCGTAACGGTCGCGTTGAAAAACGTTTTCCTGATCAAATCGATCGCCATTTCGCCTTCGTATACATAACATCCCGTCTGCAAAGAAAATATTAAATCTTGATTCGTCATAAAAAGAACATTATTCCAATGTGCATGTTTCCATTTATGGTTTATTTAAGTCGAAGCGACACGATCCTATCAATAAGGTTACGTTAACGGTACTCCTTCGTGAGGTCGACGTCCATGGATTCTGGTGGCGTGAAGTTTATTGTGCACTGTGCTGTCACAAATTATAGTGCCGGTAGAATGTCTTATGTGATTAGCCAAATGCGATTGGATATATATCGATTTCGCCATGACGTCAGAACAATACAATGTCTTCTGCCAACGTTGTTTTGTTGATCTTCTTGAACGTGGCATATTTTTGACTTCCCATGTGAGTTGATCCCTAGTTTTTAGACTGATAGTCGATTCGCTTACATGAAATTTTCGTGCAGCTTCCTGATTGACCATAATATTATTTAATTATTATTTTAAAAGTTATAAGTTGGGAGTTTCAGTTCAGGAGTGCAATATTTACTTTTTGTCTATACCCTAACTATAACCCTAAAGAACGCTAAATGTTTAGACGCCTAATTATGACGATCATTAAAGCAAAAAATAATAGCAAATATATTTTCCCTTTCTTTTCATCATTAACATCATCATCATCATCATCAAATAAAATAATCAGCATCAAATATTTTGCTTTTTAAACTTCAATCGGAATCTTCCTGTTTACATATTCAAACAAGTGACTGCCAATCAAATAACTATCATCATGTCCTTTAAAATTCGATTTGTGTTTCATTTTCAATCGTACTAGTTATTATTTTCATTAAGTAACACATTATGTTTAAACTATAACCCTAAACCTTTATCATTTAAAACGTACAAGAATTTGTCATAAATACACTTTACTACATAAAAAGATTGACAAGCTATTTTCTTACTTAATTTTCATTCCCAGATTTTAATTAAAAGGGCCTAATCGGGAAGGTGAAAAAAATAGGGTAATGCTAACTGGCGTAAGTGGTCCACTGAAATGTTCCAAATTTTGGCCCTGGTTTCTAGGTTTAATGTAAGCTTACTTTTTACATCCTGTTTGCTGTATACGTCTTACAAAATTCCAAGAAATTGTGGTTTCCCTATGTGCAATTCACCAATATATTATTTTTACGTTTGTATACAAGTAACAAAGAATATCTCAGCAGATAGTAATTATTCGACAAAAGCTTAATTATATTTATCTTTTTTTAAATGCAAACCACCCACAATTATCGTATTAAATGCGTAGCCAAAACACGACCCTGGTCGATCACATGTTTTAAGCAACAAATAAAAACAAATTGTCTCAAAATTTATATGACTCAATTAGCCAAGCAGAAAGCAACACGAAAAGTTATACAATTTGAGTAGACCATTTATGTCAAGTGGTCCATACGCTAGCACTTACCTAAAAAATAACTATCATAACTTTTAAATACTTAATCCCCTTATTTAATCCAAATACATGGAAAATTTCATTATATAAAAAAAACACAATCGATTAGAATAATTGCTTCATTCACACTGTTTTCACTCAAAATTAAATTAACAATAGAATAATATCATGTGGTTCAGCCGATCAAAATATGTCATATTGCTTCTAATCTCCTAACAGGTTTAGCTGCTATCCCTTTATCCAATAAAGAACAAGAACAATGTCATTGATAAATTTATTACATGACAATGATAAAAAGGGTTACTTTCATGAATAGATCTCAATCAGCATAGCGAAATTAGGGAATCACCCTAACTATTTACATGCGGCGTTTTGATGTGTGGTTTCCCTGTGTGCGACGGATTTGCTTTCATTTTCTTGTGCCATCACCTCTTTCCACCATGCTTTATTTCTGACAAGGCAGTCTATATTTGTCCTTCCAAATTAATGCAGACTTGTTGATTTCACTACAAATTCCCTTTTCAAAAGTTTTTTAACAACTTTATTAAGGAAGGGTCTATTCAAAACAACCTGGTAATGGAAATTGAACTCAACGCATTTATGTGGCATGTGTTAAACAATTATAGTAAATTATCTGATGTTTTCTTAAATATATAATCTGGAGCAACACCTACATGTTTTATTTCAGTTAAAAGTTTGTATCCTCGTTTTTCCATGAATTTTAGAAGGTTCAATTTACCACCAGGCCACTTATTGTGTTCTATTGAAAATATCTTGACTTTTATTCTTTCCCAAGGCAATAAACTTAGAACCCCATGTTCGGCACCTTCTATGTCTAAGCTAAAATAATCTATTTCAAAGCGGTCTATTGCCTGCAATATTAAGATTAGGGGATGGCACTTTACTCGGATATGCTTGGGAAGAGGCTTGTGTGTTTCTTTTTGAACAACACTCCCCCCGAGATAGTCCTTATTTCCAACGTTGAATGTTTCCTGAATAAAATAAAAAAATATAATCCAAGTAATCTAATCATTTAATTATTTTCTGTTGTAAAAAACAATACATTTTATTCGAAAATTAAAGCATATTTCTGATAAAAAATTAACAAAATTAGGGTAAGGGTTTGTAAACCTTGTATAATTTTGAATTAATTCATATCGCAATGAATATCTTCATAAAATATATATCCTCTAAGCTCACTGCACCTTATGTAAGAATACTTACTATGACTAGCTATGTGCCAATTTCACAATATATTTGAAAGGGATAAATAGATACTATTGTTTAAGCCCTTAATGTTTGAACACTTCCCAAGGTGAGTAAATCTTGATTATCTAAACATAAGCAAATAACTATCGTTCCGGCAAATAGCACTACCTTTCGTTCGCCAACTTGTACAGAAAAGGTCAAGGTAGATTTTTTATTAAAATGATCATTTTAAGTTTTTATGTATCATGAAATTTTGGAAATGATGGATGGATTAAACATTTGTTGTTAAGCAGGAATGCATCTGATATCTAATTATAGTGTTTGGTTCCGGATCGCTGTAGATTTCTTTGTATTTTTTTCTTTCCATATGCGAACGTTTTGAAATTATTGTAAATTATTCTGTAACATATAGAAAACCTCATCGGTAGTTCTACCAAGACTTCATGTTGGTATATTTATTCTTTTATTTTGTTTAGGAATAATAATCAAATCGAATAATGTTTAGGTAGGTTGTCAAATGTACTATGATAATATATTTCACGTACCGTAAAGTTGTGTAAAAAAACTAAATTCACTAAATAAATTATTTTCTGGTTTTTAATCAAAGATTAATTTGAAAAAGTAATATTCAATATATGATTTGTCCATTTATCTAGATATCTATATGTTATTGTTTAAAAGCGGGTTACAGTTAAAGTGAGTTCAAGTGACACTGGTTTAACACATTTGATTTAAAATAGGTAACATAGGTTGAAGTTGGTTTAGCATTTATTATTTATGCAATATATTTAAGAGATTCGACTATGTTCCTGTCTGAACCATTTGACCCACCGGGGATATGGTGCCCTGATCAGACTGTGATTATTTTGCAGACCATATACTCCTGTCTGCGGTCTATTATTTGTCTATATTTTGGTACAGGTTTCCTATATCTTCATTTGTCTATCAATACCTTATGGCTTACTTTTAATTTACATTCATTTTGACAGTTGACAAAATGTTATTTTTGTGTCAGTAAGTGGTTTTAATTGGAAAATAAGTAGATCTTAAAAAACTTGAGAGATGCTGATTGATCATTTTTTATGTCACTTTTATATGTATTTAGTACAATGCATGTGTTTTTTTTTTATCTAACATCGTATCTATTTTCATTTCACATTTATTTTTAATATCCTTGGTAAAAGTGCTATAAGAATATCCTTGGTAAAAGTTGCTATAAGAAAACATCAACATTTAGAGACGCCTAGAGCTAAAAGGATGAATGTGGCTTCAGCTGGTGAAGCATTAGTCATTGAATCACAGTCTAATGCTACTTGTAATGCAATTCAATTACCTGACCAGCAGTGAGACCAAGTGGTAGAGAAGGTTGGACAAATTGAAGAAAATGTGTAAGGTGAGTCAGGGTCTCTTAAGTACATGTACAATGTTCTTTTTGCAGCTTTGCAAGTCTTAAGCAAAGGTTGGTTTCCCTTTGATGAACAGATAAAGGCACAAAAACGCTCATAACCCATCATTACTATGGTAAAAGGTTTTTTTTTACCAACACTTTAATTTCAAAGGAGTTTGCATCAACGCGGCATGTTATATTTGTGTTTGAACTGTAGCATGTTGCCTCAGCCAAGTAATGAAGTTGGATAGACAAAACGTTTGTAATAGCAAGTCATGTCATAATAAAGGAACTAATGCAAATGAAGGCAACAGAATTTATCCTTGGTATTGCAAAGTTGTCAAATAATCACAACGTTCTACACATTTAAATAGAATATCCAAACAGGACAGATGATGAACTTTTATGCATTGGTTTATGTTTGTTTTTAAACTTATATATCAGGGACACAGAGATGAGTCCTCTTGTCACAATTTTAAGTCGGTCATTCAAAATTCAAATGCGATTTTGAAAGAAGTTAGAACAGGGCAAATAGCTGGCCCTTTATAGAGAGGCATAATAAAAACCTAAGGTTATCCCCTTGTTCGAAAAGGAACAGATCATGGGGTTAATTCAGAACTTGCCTTTTCAAAAGGGTTCAAGTTTGAATGATTGAAAAGATGGGAAATGTGTTCAGTTGAGTACACATCGCTTGATAAAGTCATTGATGCCCCCAGTTTACTAGATGTCATACATTACTTGGAAAGATTGCGGAGAAAAATAAATTTAGGATGTTTCCACACAGATTATTTTACTTGCTAGGACTTTTTATTGATAAATGACTGCCTATAGCGTGTTCTATGTCATGTGCTCTGTTTAGGAAGTTTGCCATTTTTTTATGATTACTAATGGCTTAAGGGCCAAAGGGCATAGTCCACTATTATTAAGATGATTTTATGGGAAAGCCTGCCACCAGTGACTGTATAAACCTTATGAATGCATTTGTAAGTATCTGTAAGGCTTTGGGAGTACCTTTAGCTGGCAAACTATAATTCTATCGTTTTTAGGGTTTGAGATGAATTAAATTATAATGCAGCTTCGAATAGCGGCAGAAAAACTAGTAAAGCTTCCATAGTTACTATACTTCTTATTAAATAAACAGACGTTACAGGAATTTCAATCCCTTAAAGGTTTATTAGATGTCATGATGCTACATGTGACATTTTAAAAGAAAACCATTATCTTAGACTTATTCGCTCAATCAACGAGGATTTAAAAATGTAGCTTTAATTCATAGATGCTTTCGATAAGTCTTGCACTTTCCAATATTTGATTTGGTCCTCTAATTCTATAAAACATTATCAAACAGCTCGGGAACAATAACTTAAGGTTGTGCCGCAATATCTTGCAGGCATTGGGTGTTCATTCAATGGCCCAACACAGGTCACGATAATGACACGTGGCCCTCTTGACACATCGACCCCTAGACACATTTACCACTAAGACTTCTCGGATACCTAAGACACTTAGACCCCATTAAATGATTGGACATTTCGATCCCGTTTTCTATAACGTACATAAAGACGTTACTTCAGAAAAAAGAATGATCATAAAGACATAAATTCATAAAAAATATGTTTTTTTTACAAGTTTGATTGATATATGTTTAATTGATTTCATTTTTTGTTATTTTTAATCATTCTTCAAGCCAAGTATTTTATGTAAGAACAGAAACAAAACAAAAAAATATTTTGTATGTATATACATATTTCTATAAGTTACAGTAATAACAATTTACAATGGGTATGTTCTTATTTTTAATTTAAATACATTTCTATTAGTAGTTTTGTAGTTCACATTTTGTAAACAAATACTGTCGTTGTTGTCCATGTACACTTGTTAGTTTCTTGCTACCGAACTTATAAAATCCTGAAATCTGAGACTTTTTGGTTCTTTAGTACATCATTTTAATTAAAATACATGTATTTGTATTGTTATACATGGAATACTCTGGTTCAATGATTTTGAAACCGACTTTCTTACATCATATCTGTGTGTGCGACTTTAAAGTAACACCGTCATGATGTAAGAAACACACTAAGCAATATTTACCGCGTCAAAGAGTGTCGAGAAGGGCATGAACCATTCAAATACAGGTTTTAAAAGCTTGTAGTAATAATTGATTGTTTTTAAAAAATGACTGACTAAAGAAATGAAGTAATTCGTATATTAATAAAACGAATATTCTTCAATGAGTTGGACATTTATCTATAATTTATGTAAATTTTAATATAACTATTTGGAAAAGGTAATAAAATGACCACACGAAATGAGCTATTAGTAATGTTACCAACCCCGTTAATTATGAAATGCAGCTACTGTTTATTTAGCACAACAACAATTCATAATTGAGAGGGTGTTATCCACAGGAGTTAATTACATTTACCAATAATTTTATCATCATGGACACGCGACTAATGTTTTTTTGGCATGTGTATTCAAACATTTAGATTAAGAGATTACGCATATTGAATTTAAGATATTAAAGAAATTCAAGATTTATTTATAATTACGTTTGTTGGCGAAAATATTACTTTTGAAGCCTTTCGAGGCAAAACTACATTGAACGAAACAATTAAAAAAAGGATTCTGAAAATTTACTTTCTATGTTAAAATTACAATATAAAAAAATGAGACTTTATCATTTTTTAGTCTATATAACTACAATACTACATATCATAATATACATTGTTGATGTTAAAATACGATAAGTCGGAACATGTACAAATCTCAACCAATTAATTATCGATCGATCGAAATTTTGGTTTCTTTTTCATTATGTACATGCCGTGAAAATGAGATAATCGCAACTTCAAGCAACAGACAAGTTAATTCAATATATATCATTAATTAAGTAGACACGTATTAATGTTCATCCTCAATATAGCATACATGTGTTTCACACGTAAAATATAAACTAAACCTTTACAAATTATTCAATCAGGAATGTTATATTTCCGGTCCTTAAGGATCGTTCAGCACGACATTATTGTTGTGCTTGTGGTATCTTAGTTTTATCTATTCGGCATCTTTCCTGTTGGGTGGTTTCGGTATTCCTCACTTGAATATTGTTGAATCACCCTTAGGATATGAGGCCTGCTTTTTAAATTTGTCTTTTGACGTTATATCTGTGATATGCAGGCTTTATAGCCTCAGATCCCCTTTCAAAATTCCATTTTATTTAGTTCCGCCCATTGTTTTCTCGTTTAGGGCACACGCATTTTTTTTACTTGGGGACCATATGCCACTTTTCATGGAATGGCACTAACGTGTCACATTGAAGGTTCCATGATAACCGCCATATGAACACATCTGCGGATGTTTCAAAATTCTAAATTCTACAGTTCATGTTAAATGTTGAATTCTGCTTAAGCCGGGGCTAGGGGGCGTTGACAGTAGTTTGCACTTGACAGTACCGTCCATGAACAGGCTCAATCTAACAGAGCCTGCAAGATTTTTAATTTTGTCGCGTTGGGCTTTCTTTAGGGATTCTTATTTTACTCTACTTTTTCAATGAAAACGGCCATTTTCACAATACGCTCACGAGGGAAAGGGTTAATATCTATCTTAAAAATTGTAGAATTATATTCATATTAAAGCTGTACATGTGTCAGGTTTTGATAACTGACTCTATTTCTCAAAAGCAGTTGGACAGGTTAAGTCGTCTGGCACAATTTGCCGATCAGCAAGCCACTTTGGTTCCAGCCAGCTTTCGGATTCTGCTATTTATGTTGAGGCAGACAAACTATTAGATTCCAATTTATCTAGCAATATTTACAAAGAAAATCAAATGCCCTTAAGGTTTTTATTCAGTATGAGACATTAAATGTTACTCACTTGGTCAACCCATTGGAACAAATGATTAGTGTTATTGCTAACAACTTTTGATTGGTAGTGCCTCAAGAACAGTTGGGGAAAATGTGTCTGGAATCGCATTTCATTGCAAGATAAAGTTGAAGATATAGCCGAAAAAATATTAAAATTAGGGTTAGGGTTAGAATTAATGTACTTGACAATGAGGAGTAAGCATCGGTTTGTTTTTACCATAATTACTCTTGAGTAAAGAAAACAAAATAAAACGATTAAGAAATTCAGTCTAAAATTTACACTTACAACAGAAGAATAGTTTTTCTCTGAAAGGCATGCATTGATAGCGTATGCTTTCCTATTTTTATTCATCAACCTCTTGAATTGAAATGGATTAGGTTCAACAAGAAGTCCTGTCCAATTTCGAAAACGTTCAAAAAACAAACTGTTTGACAAGTATTCTCCATCAAAGGCCCCAGATTCAATAAAAAACCCGTTTGTCTGAAAAGCAAAAAAAAGACATTTGATGCACATGGAAAAATTTAAAACAAAGGTAATGATGAGTATCATGTTTGATAAGTGTTTTCTGTCCTCAGCTCGGTTAACTTTTGATTTGAATGCTAACAATTGCGATCCATTTAAAATATTTGATAACGATATAAGTACACACATAAAATAAAATATTAATGCAATATAACAAGCATTTTATCTAAACACATGAGCCTAACGGGAACAGATCATTCTTATATAAATATTGAAATTAACGCAAATCTTATAAATCAATAACACTAAGTAAATGCCACACTCTGATATAAATGTGAAATACAAGACTTTGTAAATTGATAAAAGTGTGTCGGTATACTTTACAGACTGACTTTATAGACAAGTTAAACATAGAGGGATTATATAGACAAGTTAAACAATGAAGGATTTTAGATTTTGCAGACAATGTAGATTATATAGGGAATGTTTAATCCATTAACAAAAAGGTGTAAATGGCAATTATGCTGTTGATCAGTTGGTTTTATTAAAACAGTTTATATTCATTCATTATATAAATTAGCAGAGTTAAAGATAGTGTATACCGTATAAGTGTTTTTATCTGCGGGCTCCAAATTCTGCGGTTTTTCCTAATTTTGGCATGTTTTTATTTCTGCGGACTTTATTTCTGCGACACATTCTTTGGACAAAACGTGATTTATATTCTACGGCTCATCTTATCAAAATCTACGTCACATTTCTCTTCCTATTTTATTTGCAAGTACACATTCGCATTAAAATTTTGTTGATCGTTGTCACCGCAAAACTATATAGTTATTACAAACAATTATATTGTTTGCTTGCAAACAAATACAATGCGTAACAATAGACGGTATGCATCTTTTGATCAGCGTGTAATGACGTGTGAAAATATACCCGGGTAGTATCTTTAATTTAATAAACTTGATAGAAGATTATCGTAAATCAGACAACAATTAATGTATACGAAGATTATTTAGCAGTATAAGGGTTAGAATGGTGGTAAACAAACCTTTTAGCGTACAGGCAAACACTATGATGTTTAAATATCTTTATTCATAAATTGGCATGATTAACAATAGGGACATCCTTACAAGCACATATTACATACTTAGCCAAAAGTAATTTTGTATAACCCAATAACCCGCTAACCGTTAGTCGTTATTACTTTAGAGGAAACAGGTCATAATGTAGGACACATATCGTT